AAAAAAAAAGAAAAACATGAAATGGTTTGTTTAAGTTCCCTCGTAAGAATTTAGCTAAAAATTAGAGAATAAAGTAAATACCTTCTATGCCCTTCGACTAGTCTTGCCATATTACCTCCATAAGTCGGGAAAAATATGTCGCTCTCAAGGGACACTATGTAGTCCAATGCAGCCATTTGGGATGCATGCTTCTTGAAAGGCAATAGCTCATAGGGTGTCAACAATGTCTCCTTCTTGACCTGTTAAAAATTAGGATTTTTTCAAGAGATTAATTTTTTTTTTTCTTTCTTTCTTTCTTTCTTTTGTTAACTAACCAAATTTGGGTATGCTGCTCTCAAGGGTCCCAATCTATTTTCTCCTCCATATATATCTCCTGCAGCAATATAAATCTGCATTTCCCGGTCAACGCCCAATGCTTGAAGGGTCAATGCAGTTTCCTCAGGGGTCAATGGACATGAACCAGCTAATCTCCTCGAGGTCGAATTTATTTTCTTCTCCCTCCACCATGGAATTGAATATCTGATATCACATATGTAAAAATCACCGTCTTCGACTTTGTAAAATTCCTTACAACACCTGCTATCTTCAACATTGTAAAAAAAAAAAAAAAAAAAAAAAAAAAAAAAAAAAACAAGAATCCTATCTTGCACTAATACTACAAATGCCCCCTAAAATACTCGCCAAGGGTATGCTTGTAATTTGTAAATGTGAAGGATAATAGGGGTTTTTCTGTATTTGAACTAAAATATGGGATATTTTCGCAAAATCTCACCTCAGTTCATCCAGTTCTTTTGCTTCTCTATTAGTACAGCCTTGATTACAACCTGAAAAAGCAAGCATATCCTTTTCGTACCTAAGATGGAGGACTAGGAAAGTACTCTTCTGTCTCATTATTTTCACTATCTTTTTCCCCATCTTCTCGATTGGAACCGTAAACTTCAGGGCCTCATAGTTCGCCTTGCAACGAACCTTTTGAACCTCCAGAGGTCCATTGTTTGCTAGCCTCGAGTCGGTTTTCTGAAAATGCAGAATCTTGTACTTCTTCAGGCCTCCATGAAGAACCTACACAACATGGAAAAATAAAGACATGTTCGTATATTGCGGACACAAATAGGGATGATTTTGTAATTACTCTCAACTTCAGGGGTGATTTTTTCAATTTCAAGGATGAAGAAGAACACATACCTTGTCAGTGTAGTATGATATGTTGGACCAGCTAGCAGGTTGCATTGAAATATGTCTTTTCATTTCCACCATCTTCTTCATATCTGGTGGAAGTTGTTTTACAATCTTCACCTCATCCCTCAACGAGCTTATGAAATGATCGATGTCGAATATATCCTTGAATTGGCTGCATGAAACGAAAATTATGTTTTTTTTTTTTTTTTGCTTAAATTTATGTTAATCTGTTAATTTTTTTTATGAGTATTATTTTTGAAAATTTTGCATTTTCCCCCCAGTATTGTGACCTTTGATCTTTCCAGAAAGATTTGGTGTCCAACTGAGGAATCACAAGAGTGGCATTCATGTATCTTGCAATGGCTACCATGTCACATATCTGCATGAGTAATTAATTTCAGAACAAGAATAAAAGATTAACATGTATTTACAAAAACAACCCTCGAGGTTTGGCCTAACTAGGAAAAATAACTATCTTAAGCATTTGCTGCATTAGTGAAGCAGAACAGCCAAAACACACATTAGTTAAAAATTACAAATAGGTAGAAGAAAAGTTGGGGTTGTTTGTAGTATTTCGAAAAGCCTGTGGCAGTAATTGTACTTTTTATTTTATTTTTTTTTTTATTTTTTAAAAGAAAAAAAAAAAACATACCCCAGAACGCATTTGATTCAGTCCTCCATTAGCTGAAACAGTTAAATATCCATTGCTCTGGTACTCTCCTGCAACCAAGTTCTTGAACTTTAGACATAATATATTTTCAAATAATCTACATAATCGGGAGTTGGCTCACTTGAGGGTTGCTGTGAAAAGTGCAGCAACTGAATAAGTATAGTCCAAATAAGGGCCATAGTCATGAGCGCCCGTGCAAGGCATTCACAGTAGCGAGCATTTCGAGCTCGAGCAGCCACTCGTTGCCTCGTCCGTTTCTCCTCGTCTTTCATCATCTTTCTAAGGATCTTCAACTCATCCATCGTTAATCTCTCTCCGTTTTCTTCTCCTTCAACTCTACTTAGTTAAATGAATGATCATGGGAGCATGCATAACTTTTTCATATCAGAGAGAAAAAAAAAAAAAAAAAAGTTTTAATGAACCAAGTATTCATGCTATATATCTATCATGAATAAATAAAGAATATACCGTCTAAAAGAGAGAGAAAGATATATTTAATAGTAATTGAATAGTGGTACAACTCTCTTTCAATACAAACTTCATTCTATTATATATATATCGATGGAGTGGATAAAGGTTGGGAGGAGGTTTATTATATACACATAACTGTGTCGTTAAATATTGGTAAAATAACTAAAGACGTTCTTAAGATAATTCACCACTTGGGCCATTTTTTAATTAATAACTAAATATATCTTATTCGACATACTTCATATCTTTTACGATAATATGTAGGGTTTATGTATGTGACTGAAGGTATATCCCCTTCTCGACACTATCAGTTCAACATTTTACTATATTAATTAAAGGAAATGCTAAGGTGCCGTTCCCGTCGAGTATTTTAACTGTTAGATCATCTATCTTATCTAACTACATATGGATCCAATTATTAAAAAAATCCCACGGGATGGTACCGTAACGGGACCGTAGTATTTCCCATTAAGTTAATTCATTTTAAATTTTGACACTCAATATTTTTTTGTCATGGTTTTATATATAATATATAACAAAAGTTGACATCTGAATTATAATGAATTCTTGATTAATTATATGCAAACTATCAACTTGTTTAAAGTACAAAATTATTTTTTTTTTTGTTAATTTTTAAACTATAAGCAACATTATCTTCAGATATTCAAAAAAATTAAAATAAAATAATTAGTTTTCTTAATTTAATTTAGTATTAGTACTATTTAATATAATTAATTTATCAAAAATTTTCTTGTTCAAAATAAAACTATTTTTTAATTATTTCTTAAATAATATTAAATGAACTTTTAAACCACATGACAATACATCTAAGAAAAGAAACTTAGTTAGGATTATTAAATTTGCTAAAGGCCCTATTACCCTAATATATGAGTGAAGCAAAATTCAAGACTAAAGATCTCGGATTCTTAACTTTACCAGTTGAAAAACAACCCTTTAATTGTTGATATTTAAAACTTTAAAGTAATCCCCAATTAAAATGGAATATATGAGAAAAATCATGTCCACCAACCCAAAGAAGTTTCCATAATTACAGTTCTCATGAGTTGAATCAAGACTATACAATGGGTCATTTGTTGCCTATGAGTTGATACGGTTTGAAAATTCGAAAATTGTCGAAACCGTATTAAAATTCAGAAATCATTAAAATTCAATTTTTTCAAACTATTAAAATCGGAGTGGTTCGGTTTGGAAACTTTCATATTTCCATTGGATTCGAACTCCGGGACTATCAGAATGATTCTGATTGGTTTGATTCTGATCGGAGCTATGGGGACTTTGTATTATTTTTTAGACTTTTTTTTTCATTTGAATATCTAATTATATTTAAATTTTATATGTTTTTTCTTTTCTTTTTTTTTTTAAATATAAATACTTTTTTAAATCCAACATTCAGAAATATTTAAGATTTTATTTTGAATTGTATAAGAATAAATTAAAATTTTAGTTAAGACTATTTTACAACTAATGATGGATATTTGAAATCATAACAACATATAATATAGTTTTTCTTTAAAAATGCATTTCTCTAACATTCCATGAAGTTTCAATTATAAAATGAAATAATTGTAAGAATAACAGTGACAAATGTAATATAAATAATCTTTTAAAAATTGAAAAAAATATATTAATTATACATTAAGAACTATGTATCTATATATATAATTGCTGACAAATTTCAATAAATTTTATTCAGTCAGCAATTAATAATAATATGAGTTCATTTAATAAAAATAAGTGTACATTTAATAAAAATATGTTCATCATTTAATAAAAATTGTAACTTTCAGTTACACGATTTATTTGACCGATCCCATTTTGGATGGTACCCATTTTTGTAATGTCTTTCTATGGCCTGAAATACAATTATAATGCTAGTATATAATAAAAAAAAAAATCAGTTACACAACTTATTTTGACATATCTCAATGTTGGATGGTGCCAATTTCTTTTATTATTATAATACTAATTTCTAATAATGCCCATAATTACAAAATGTGATATACTCATTATATAACTTATAATTTAAAATACAATATTTTACTTGTATTTGTGCATGTGCACAGAATCGAATACTAGTTAAATATGAAATTTAAGTTAAATTTAATTGTCAAAGGACTAAAGTTAATGTAATAAACAAGACGCATGTAGTGTTATATTGCAGTTCTTAACTTTGGTTCCTCCGGCACACATTTATGAAATAACCCAAACCGTACTGATTATTTTGTCGATTCAATTGGTCCTCCAGCACACATTTATGAAATCACCCAAACCACATTGGTTATTTTGTCAGTTCAGTTCTATTCAAAGAAAATCAAACGATCAATAACAGTAATTATTTAATTTAGAGTTGTTTCAGTTCGTCTTTCGGAACGGTTCATTATTATCCAAGTTAGATGCTCGGCTTAGGTGCCTATGGCATCAAGTGTACAAAATCCTCCTTCATTGGAAAAAAAAAGGTAGTAAATATGATGTTAGGCAATCTAACAATTAAACATTTATATATTTTTATTTTTACAAATTTGCATACTTTCATATCATATAATTGACATAAAAAAAGAATGATATATCTCAGTTAAGTTTATATATATATATA